GAGAGAGCGAGAGCGCGAGAGCGAGCGAGAGAGCCAGAGAACCATTTTCTTTCCATGTCTCCCCAGGGAGGTGTGAAACTGATTCCCCTGGCTGCTCTTAGGGCGTGGAGTCGGGCATCGCTGAGCTTGGAAGGCCGGACAGCCAGCATCTGGCTAGACCGTGTTTTGCTCCGAGAGCTACTCACCCTCAGAGTGATGTGACAGTGTGAGGAGGCTGACACAGGATGCACCGATGCCTGAGCCAAAGACGGTAATACGGCGAGGATCTCCTCCAAAGAAGGCAATATTCTCACTCACCCAGCGGAGGGCCTGGATTTGGTCAAGGAGGCCGTAGTTTCCTTTGGCAGCCTGATCTCCAGTGCTCAGGAAACCTAGATTTGACAAAGGGCATGAGGATAGTGAAGGCAGAAGGACGGAGTGCTTGGGTTAAGATGACAGGCAGGAATTTTGTTTTGTTTTCTCTTTCTTTTTTTTTTTTGAGACAGGGTCTCACTTTGTAGTTCAGGCTGGCCTTGAACTCATTATGTACCCCAGGCGGCCTCAAACTCACAGCAATTCCTCCTGCCTCAGCCTCCCTAGTCCTAGGATTACAAGTGTGTGCCACCGCACCCAGCAGGATAGCTATGTGGCCACACAGCTCCTCCCACCTTGCTAACATAAACCATTGCTCCTTTCTGCAAGGTCCAGCACCACCAAAATAGGAAAGGTTGGCTCCCTGCCTCCCACTCATTACCCAGTTTGGAAGGAGGGATCTCCAATCATTAAAAGTGGCCGCCTCCTCCAGGAAGGAGAGTTAAACTGCAGGAACTGCAAATGGTCATAATTTAGCATCCTCTGCTCTGACCTACTATTATCTAGGACATGATCCTAACGTTTGTGGGAGGAGAAGGAACCTTAAAGTCAGAAAGTCCTGGGTTAGAATCCTGGCTCTGTCACATCCTAGCCTCATGGTCTTGGGCAAGGTGTTCAAAATCTCTGGGTCATAGTTTCCTCTTCTACAAAGTAGGGGTAAAAATACCTCATACCACTGCAGCAAGGATAAATTGAGCACAAACCCAGCAGATTGCAGATATACAGTTATTTATTTTTCCTTTCTTCTCTCTCTGAAGTGAAGATTCCAAAAGGCAACAATCTCCTAAGCTCTCTTTGCCTTTCCTGTACAAATTCATCCACCTCCTCTTTTCTGGGTCTTGGACAGCCCTGTTACCCTCATTCCCGGGGTGGGTCCTCATTTCCTTTCCTCCAAAGCCCAGTGAATCAGAAATTCTGGAGGTAGGGCCTAGCAATCTGTATTTTTAACAAGCCTCCCCAGGTAATGCTGATATTTGCAAAAGTTGAGAAGCCAGTGGGTTAGACCATCTTTTTCAACTGGTAGAGAACTGGGGAAGTCAGTGCTGAGTGTAACCACAGAAACAGGTCTTCCCGCCCACCCACTGGGATTTGCTGCTGAGGAGATGTGTCACCATGGAGACTACCTTCCCACCCACCTGCTGGGATTTGCTGCCTTGGAGACTTGTTGCCATGGAGACTACCTTCCCGCCCACCTGCTGGCTATCCCACAGAGATGTCCTATATGCGCCCCCCCTCCATTTTAGACTGATCCTCCTGCCTTATTTCATCTCTTCCTTGTCCTTAGCTTCCTTGGAAGACTATCTTCTCCTATGCTTGGCTTTTGGAAGGGTTTTTTACTGGTGGGTAATCGCAGAGCTCCTACACATTGGAAACCCATATTTGGGTCAGTATTTGTTGACTCTGCAGTTAAAGACTCATTCACAGCACCTGGAATCAACTTGGTGCAAGGCCGTGTGAGAGAAGGTGCCCACAGCTCACAGAAAGCTTTCTGGTGGTCTGGCAGTGCATGGGCAGAGACAGAATTCAGACTCAAGCAGGCAAAAGACCTCATCACTGTCTTTCTTGAATCCTTCTGTACCTAGCTTCTGCAAAAGAGCTCGTCCCACCCTCTTTAAGTGTGTTATTAATTTAGCTTTGATACAATTAAGTGTGGGAAGTACTTAGCTATTCCTGTTAGGACCTAGTCACAATTTCTCCCTGGCTCTGGATTCCAGACGAGGAAAGGAGGAAGAATTAGAGAAAACCTGAACAAGGGTTAACCAAGGAGCCCTTGTTACTCCAGACAAAGGAACCAGCTTCTCCTTCACCTGGTCCATTCAGAAACTGAAGCTGCTCTAGTCTTTTTTTTTTGTTGTTACTGGGAATCGAACTCATGACCTCCGGCTTGCTAGGCACGTGCGTATGTCGCTGAGCTACATCCCCAGCCCTTCTAGTCTTAACTATGCTGTCCAAGACCCAGTTCAGCTGCCTAAGCGTTGAGATTCTCTGGTAAAAATTACGATGCATGTCTCTTAGTTTTCTTCTCTCCTCTTTCCTTCCCCTATATTTTCTTTTCCTTTTCTTCATTTAGGCAATAGAAGGCTTGCCTTCAGTCTTTGCCAAGGCTCCAGTGAAATGTGTCAAATATGTCTGTCCTAATTACCAGGAAAATCATGCAGTTAGTTGTATGTAGTAGGTTTCTTCGACATGGACCAATTTCCTGGGTTAGGAACAAAGGCCTGAAAAGGCTGGACGCAGCAGTTAGCCATCCCTCTCTGCTCCCTCAGATCCCGGGAGCCTCCAGAGAAGGGGCACTGAAGTGTGTGGATGGTGCCATGCCGGTGAGCCCTACTACAGAAGTCCCGCTTCAAGCACTATATCCAACCGGCTCAGGAAGATAATGCAGTGAAACCTGACCGACCAGGAGCGCACAACCTGGTGGTCTGGAAGAGCAGTCCCTCGCTGTTCATCCTCAGTATCTCAGCCAACCCCAGAAACTATGTGAGAATGGAGGCTGAAATACCCAACTCTGTCGACTGTCAGAATAAATCTGAACTGGTCTCCCTGGGCCCAAATTTATACTGCAGTACATGGTAAGCTGCTCGTCAAGAGAAGACAAGGGAATCTGGCAGATTGTATCAAAACCAGATATTTGTGTCACTCAAGGTTTTCAGTTTACCTGGAGGGTACCTGAGGAAGGAGGTAGGGTTAAATTAATTCTGGAATCTGGAATAACACTTGGCAAGCCCCTACTTCCCTGGCCTCAGGAATATCCACATCTTACATACTGCTGGAAACTTTTTCTTTTGTTGGCCCCAAGCCCAGTGGGAGCTTCTCAATCCCCACCTCAGAGGGGATCCATGGATTAGCCTGTGACATTCTCAACATATGTGAATCAGCCAAGATGTCTAGAGAAGCACCCTACAGTGAATTGTTTGTTTGTGCTCAAGAGCGAGGGTAAATGGATGCATGTAATTGGGTTCCACACTGGCACCAGTTCTGGGATGCTTTGGAAAACAAAAAAACAAAGCCTCAGCTACACAGCAAAATCCCCAAGTGTCAGGGACAAACCCATGTTCTACATCTGGTGCCAAAAGACAAAAACATCTTGTATGTACCCAGAATGCAATCAATGGCTTGTTAATCATATTTGTGTTTCAGACCGGGAACTTGAGGGCACACAGGAAGTGATGGGGAACTCCCCACTCTCAGTTCTGAAAGTGGGGTAATATTATCTGGATTGTCAACTGCTTAAGCCCAAAGAGCAATTGGCTGTTCTGATTGTCCATGTGAGAGGAGGCCGTATAGTGGGGGTTTTGAGCCTGAGTTTCATGGATGAGCTTCAAGGGGAAATGTGAAGTTGTTTTTATAAGTATGTGCGTGCATTGTTGAGCGTCTATATCTTTCACCAGAGTCTCTGAAGAGTCCATGACCCCTCAGAAGGTTAAGAACTTCTGACATAGAAGCTTAAAGAATCCAGCGGCCAAAGGGTTGTAGAGCACCAGCAAATTGGATGTCACATGGATCGCTCAGCAGAACTAGCCTTCCGTGCAGCGTACAGCTCTCGACTGATCCTCTGGAGGCCTCGAATCCTAGTGAAATCCTGTCTCTTCTCAAATCGTATGTGTGTGTCCTTCCTTCTCGGTTTCATTTTCCCCATGTTGCGCTCACCCTCTTTTCTCTCCCTGTTCTTCTCTTCCTGATTTGCTCCTCTTGCGCCCCCCCTCTGTTCCCTCTTTTCCTCCACTCCCAGCTGCTCTGATTGTGGGGCTGAAGCACATTGTTAGTATTCTCCGGACAGTCCAATAAATCTTATAGAACGGAGCTTTGTGTTTATAATTTGCAAAAGTAGCCGAATAGAATATTTTCTATCACTCTAAGAAAAGAAATTAGCAAAATTGCTTTCAGCCGTCAACTATCATGTGTCTCTGTATATGTGTGTGATTAAGTCTGTACGTTTATTACTGTTTAGGAACTGTGCAACCCTGCTGTGTACATTTATAGCCACCTTCACGGTGTCGTGCTATTCAGATCCCTTTCTTAACAGGAAAGAACTTAGAAGAGCCATGCCATGGTTATCTGAGGCAATGCAGAAAGACAGAGGAGCAGGGGCAGAGCCATGGAATTCAAAGCCCACCAGACTGTGGAGAGACCAAAAAGTTCCCTGTATGCTCCATACCTCATGTCCTAGGAGCCACCAAAGGAGACACAAACTCTGCTTTTTTCAGGGAGTATCATATTTTCAGTCTAAACCTCAAATAGTATCTTCCTATCGTACATAGTAATAAGGGTAAGTCCACAGGAGAATACCATTGCATGCATACAACCACGCCCCGAAGCGAAATGAGTGCCAGGGCCTCTGGGATTGGAACTGGCACAAATCATCAGGAGCAAATTAAAATAAGATCTTGTCCCCCAAGTGGCTGTGGAGTTAGCCAGGCTTAATACCCCCAGGCCCGCAGACCTGACCAACAGCCTAGACCCCCGTTAGAACTTTGAGGACACAAGCCCTCTAGCTAAGCAGTTGACTTCTTCATGCAAGTACGGGGATGTGGAGCCTGGGTGAGCATATGATGAAAGGGGGCAAGGCTATGTGTGCTTTCTCCAAAGCACTGTTTACCTCAAGACCTTGGTCACATATAGGCACTGGTGGTCATTAAGGAAGGCACAGGGTAGAGGGACAGCCTACAGCACTCTAACAAGCATGTGCATGGTAGTCTGTAGGGGGAAGGGTGTGTGGGAGTGTCTGAAAAAAAACATTTGGGAGCCAGGAGTGGTGGCACATGCCTATAATCTTAGTGCTTAGGAGGCTGAAGCAGGAGGGTCATGAGTTTGAAGCTAGCTTGAGCTACATAGCTAGTTGAAGGCTAGCGTGAACTACGCAATGAGAGCCCTTCTTAAAAACAAACAAGGCATTTGGGAAATAAGTGTGTATGTGCAGGAGTATGTACATGGAATGAGGTGGGGATGAATGGGGACGTAGGTGTGGAGAGAATAGAAGGACTGTCTTTGTGTGTGTATATGGGACATGTAAATATGGGAAGAAGCAGAAACATGGTTCAGGTGGGTATAGGTGTGTGTGTGTGTGTGTGTGTGTGTAGATGTAGTTCTAAGCACATGGATGTATATGTACTTGTGGGGTGAGGGAATAAGTACGCGTGTGTACTGGGTATATATGCAGGGCACGTGTGGGAGAGTGTATGTATGAATACATGTAGTGTGTGCATATCTGTAGGGGTCTATGAGTATGTATATACATGGGGTATGGGGAGATGCATAATTGTAGTGGATAGAATGTGTGTAGAAGAGGAAGCAGGAAAACGGTGTCTACGTGTGTGTGTAGCATTTGTGAATATGGGGCACCGCATAGACATAGGGAAGGGTATCTGCATGTGGAGCAGAACATTGCTTTGTATTTACACAGGGAAAGTGAGGTCAGATGTGTATATATGTGCATCGTGTGCGGGTGCGGAGCAAAAACGGAAGTGGAATGTGGAAGAGGACATGGGTGTGTGTATGTTGGGAGTGGGAGGAATGTTTGTGTTCACTGAAAGTATATGGAGTTTTTAGCCAGGCGTGGTGGCACACACGTGTAATTCCAGGACTCAGGGGGCTGAGGCAGTAGGATCACCATGAGTGCAAGGCCAGCCTGGGCTACAAAGTGAGTTCAAGGCCAGCCTGAACTGCATAGGAAGGCCCTGTCTCAAACCTCTCTCCCCACAAAAAAGTGTATGGAGATTTGGTGCAGGTGTGCAGGATGTAGGTCTTTGTGTGGGGTGTTAATACGGGGGTGGGCAGAAGTTGGGATGTGGGCACGTGTGGTGTGGAGGTGTGTAAATGTGGATACAGAGAAGTATGTAGGAGAAGTGTAGGAGAATTGTATGTGTGTATGGAAAGTGAGAGAAATCCGTGTGGATGAGAAGTGTACAGTGAGTATGTGGAAGTGGGTGTGGTCGAGACAGTGTGAAGAGTATACGCAGCGGTGGGAGGATGTGCTTATGTACAAGGAGGTTTGTGGCTGTGGATGCGAAGCTACATGCATGCATGCTATGTGGGCACGAGTGAGAAATAACTACGTACGGGGTGGGTGGGGAGTGTACAGGCAGACGTGAGGGTGTGTTAGTATATGGACATGGGGTGGACTAGAAGGAACATCTGTGTATGTTATGTATGTGGGTTTTTTTTTTTTTTTTGTATTGGGCATTTGAACCCAGGGTCTCATGCATGCTAGGCAAGTGCTCTACCACTGACCTACATCCTTGAACCACTTTTATTTTATTTTGAGACAGGGGCTGTGTAAGTTCCCCCAGGTGGCCTTGATTTTGGGATCCTTTTGCCTCGGCCTCCAAGTAGTTGGGATTACAGGCATGTGGCACTTTGCCTGGTCTGTATGGGTATTAGGGCTGTGGAGCTGGGTGGATAGGGATGAGAATAAGACACTAGAAAGTTAACGAATGCTACAAAACTCAGCCAAGCAAAAGTCTGGGAGACCTGGCTTGCAGTTTGAATTGGATTTGCAGTGGCATCTAAATATTCCAAGAAAGAACCTGGGGATACAAGAGACACCCCCAGCACTTGGGTAGTGGTCATAGGATAACAACATTTTGACTACGGTCATTGACACCAGCTAGAGAATACAAGCAGCCCATTTTGAACTCCCTAGGATTCTTTCTTGCCCCATGAGAAGCCAGCCTTCCCTTCAGGTACCTGCAGGGAACCATACCTAGCACCCCAACCCGATAGTTGAGGGTGATGACGATGACATTGCCATAACTGGCGAGGACGCTGCCATCAATCATGTTGCCTGTCCCTTCCATGTAAGAGCCTCCATGGATGTAGACCATGACAGGCTTAGCACCACTGTCCCGGATGTCTGCAAGGAGAAGGGGTGAGACACAGGCTGGGTAGCATGCCCTTCCTCCCCCACCCCCACCAGGCCTGGGGGGTGTGGGCAGCAAAGCTATCCCAGGTGCCAGGACACACCGCCGCCATTGCTGAGGGCAGGACTCATGGGGGTGTTTAGCCTAGAGCTCAAGCATCGGCCAGAGATGGTTGAACTTCAGTGATGTTTTCAAAGATTCAGATTTTAAACGCCTCCCAAGGGGAGGCGGCCTGGCATGCCAGATATTGCTGGGCCTAGGTGGGCCATGGTCAGGCTTTGTGGTGGGGGCAGCAGCAAGAGGAATGGCTTATCTTTTGGCTGTATCAGGTGAGTCCCTGCCCTGGGCATCCAGGAGTCCTGGGACCTGACAAGGCTTTAGAGAGCAGGGGCTGGGGAGCCCTGAAACCCCCAAACTAGACCAGTTACATGGAAAAACAGCCATTGGCAGCTGCCGGCCCCCCAGTGCAGACAGAGACAAGAGGGGTGGGGATAGGAGGTGGCACAGGGAGAGAACGAGGAAGGGTGTGAGGAGAGAGTGAATGGCAGGGGTAGGGTAGGGGAACCTTACTGACATGGTTTTTCAGCCACATGCCCATTTACCCCATTCTCCCTGGGCAGACTTGACTGGAAACACTGGGGAGAGGGCAGAACTAAGGAGTGAGCCTGCGCCCTGCCAGCATTAGATGAAGAGGGAGCCTCCCCCGAGGCCATTCAGCCAGGGCCCGTCCAATGGCTTCTCCCAGGCCCACAGCGTGGTGTCAGCGCTGGGGCAGTCAAGAGAAGGCTCCAGGCCTTACCGCCTCTGCCTGTAGCCTGTTGGTTTCTGAGCTGGCCCAACACTCTCTGCCACAGCAGCACAGCCCTACCCGTCACCAGTGGGTCCCTCTGAGCTGTCTGGCCCTTCCATTCGTGAAGGGCCAGGCCCAGGGTGCAGAGGTACACCGGAATGCTCTCTGCTGCAGAACAAACGAACCTGTTATCCCAAGCAGGAAGGCTGATCCGATCACCGCCCAGGGATCTTATGACGTCTACTGACAGCTCTGGTGCCCCGGCCTCAGCCCGGCACGTCAGCCACAGTCTTTCTGGTCCTGTCCTGAACCTACTGCAGCCCCGGGCCCTGCGATCGCCTGTCTCTTTCTGGGAGAAGACTGGGGAGGCTCTGTCCCCTTCTGCTGCTACTGTCTTGTTCCTCAGTGAGCCAGCCTGCTCGACCCCTCTCCAGGACAGGCTCCCTGTGCGCACGGGGCTCTCCTCCGTGAACCGCCAGTATCCGCTCACCATCCAGTTTCCTTTGTGCCATTCCCCAGCTGCCCCCCCTGCTCACCATTCTCCCTGCTGCTCGGAGGGGAGGTGCCCATGAGCCATAGGAGATGGGGGAGGGTGAAGGGCAGGGTGAGGAAGATGCCCTCCTCATGGCTCTGCTGTGGTCCCCTGCTCGTGTCCATCACCCCGGAACTCCCAGTGGCCAATGAGGCCAAAGACAGCGGCCCAGCGGCCTCGTACAGGAACAAAAACACACCAACGGACGGACAGACAGACAGACGGGGCTTCTCCCCATTGAGGAGGGGAGGGGCTCTGTGCCATGCACCAGCCGCCGCGCCCTGCAGCCCCCAAATACCTTCATCTTCATCCCCGTCATTATCCGCTAAGTCCTCGCCCTGTTTCTTAGCGCCGGATCCTGGGGACCAGACACGGGGAGACACAACAGCACAGAACAGAGAACAAAACAGAGAGAGAATTCAAAAACAGCATGACTGCAGTGTGGCCCAGCAAGCCAGCTCTGGGCCTGGGCCCAGGACAGGCAGGAGGGATGGCAAGAACTGAGGGAATGGGTGGGCTGAGGCCCAGACCTTAGTCAGGATGATGGTGGTGCAGGCCTCTGCTGTGCTGGCCTCCCTGTGCCTCCCTGCCCCGCCTCCCTGTTCCCAGCAGCCCCTCTCAACCAACTCCCTTCCCAGTTAGGAAGGGGGTTGCAGCAGGCGGGCCGGGGCACAGAGCCAGAGACCCATTCAGGGAAGGGTTCATTCTGCGTGGAAGGGGCTTCACATATGTACACAGGCAGGTAGAGCTGGAGAGCAAGGGCAGGTACTGAAGATGAAGGTGACATTGCCAGCACGTGTGGATATCAATGTGTACCAGGGACATCAGGCCTGAGCTACCAGGGTCCAACGGGCAGGCTCAAGCTGGGCCTCAGCTGACTCTGATTCCCCCGGGAGGAAATGCGAGCTGAAGCTTTCCCGCTGGCCTTGCTCACTGGGGTCCCTTGCCCTGGCTAATGGCGTGGGGCTCCTGCCCACAGGAACCAGTCTTGAGAGCAGCAAGCATTGCTCAGTGATGTATAGAGAGCCAGAGGAGCGAGGGAGGGAAGGAAGGAAGCAAAGGGGAAAAGAATAAAGTGAGGAGGGAGGGAGGGGGGAGAGAGGGAGAGAAAGAGATAGAAATAATGCTGATTAGTTCCTACCCTATACTGAATATTTACCATGTGCCAGACACTCTGCTTTTGCCATATCGTTTGACTCTTACAGCCCAATAAGCTAGGTGCTGTCCTTACTCCTGCTTCATTGATGGGGAAACTGGGGTTCAGAGAGGTAAAGTGACTTGCTCAACATCACATAGCTAGGAAATGCAACAGGTGAGATTCAAACCCAGGTCTGCTTGACTCCACAGCCTATGGTCTTTCCACTGCACCAGGCCATCTTTTGGAGATGAGGGAAAGGGAAGACAGAGATGAGGAAAGAGCTGGAGCGTGGAAGGGAGGGGATGGGAAGAGAGGAGAGAGGAGAGTAGAAGAGAAAAGAGACTAGAAGGGAAAAGAGACGTTTAGGAACTGGGTAGGCTGGCACCGATTCTCTTTCCTGTTTTTTTTGTTGTTGTTGTTGTCTTTTTGAGACAGGGTCTTGCTATGCAGTTCAGGCTAGCCTTGAGCTCACTTTGTAACCTAGGTTGGCCTCGAACTTGCAGCGATCCTCCTGCCTCAGCCTCCTGAGTGCTGGGATTACTGGCGTGCGCCACCACACCCGGCTCTTTCCTCTTCTAAGGAGGCTAGAAGTGTGTCCCGGAATGACTGTGGAGAGATAGGACCTACTGCCTGCATGCTGGCCATTGTGGGGAAATTGAGGTAATTCTGCTGGTAGCCCAGGGCTTGCTCTCTTGTGTCTCTGATACCAGATATGCCCAAGCTGGAGGAAGTAAATAGCCCTCTTTCTCAGCCAGTCTGAGTGCTGGTGACTAAATTTCCTTATAGCTATTAATCAAAACAGAACCATCTCCACACTACAAAATGGCTTTTCAACTAGGGCAACAGCCCAGCCCTAGAGTAGAAACGACCTCCAGCTTCCTGAACTTCCGGTAGTAGCTATCATCTTTAACATGTTAGGTCAACCCCTGCCAGTGCTGCCTCTAGAAATCCAGTGGGACTTGGACAGCCCACCAGACTGGAGGGAATCACTCATCTCCAGAGAATTCCGTCCAGTTTGACAGGGTTGGGGGATGGGACAGGTTTTCCCCAGGAAACTCGTTTCCCATCATCCTTGACTTAGAAGATGCGTCCTTTCTGCACCTCTCTGAGTGCTCCCTGGGTTGTATTGTCCCAGGCTCCTTTGCTCCTTCAGCTTGGCCCTTGCGAGCACCTCCTTGCTGCTATGACCCTTGTCAGGCACCATCACCCTATGCTGCTCCAGGATCCAACCCAGGCCATTCTGCCTGACCTATGCATACACAGCCCTAAGGGTCTCAGGATGGGTCTCCCCAGAGGGGTACAATTTGTAACTGTTCCAAATGGCCAGCAGGGTCTGGATAGGACATCACTTTGAACAGCAAAATGACGGAATGCCTTCCTCCAAACCTTCTGAAGCCCACTTCCTAGAGTGGCCTGAGGGGCTTAGGGGGAAGCAGCTGAGTTGTAATACCAGGCAAGGAGCTACTTCAGAGTAGTGATTAGGCCTTTTGTCACTGAAAATCCTCTGCCTCACACCCCTCCACATACCAACCACATCTAGCACATGGCCTTGCCCATCGTCCACAGTTGTGACTGGTAAACTCTGGGAGTTGTCTTTTTTTTTTTTCTTTGAGACAGGGTCTCGCTATGCAGCTCAGGCTGGCCTTGAGCTTACTTTGTAGCCCAGGCTGGTCTCGAACTCACAACGATCCTCCCGCCTCAGCCTCCCAAGTGCTGGGATTACAGGTGTGCGCCACCACGCCCGGCTACTAACTCTGGGATTGAGTGGTGGCTTTTAGCCAGCTCTCTGGCAAGTCTCAGGGCTGGCCTAGACTGCCCTAGGTACTTACTGGAGCCTTGGGGAAGTCATTCTTCCTAAGAAATTGTTAATAGTAATGTCATCTCTTCTCACCACACCCCATCAAATATAGCAGTAGGTGTAAGGGACCCTTTTTCTGAATTAATTAATTAATTAATTATGTTTGGAGACAGGGTCTTGCTGTGTAGTCCAGGATTGAATTCACTGCGTAGCCCAGGCTGGCCTCAAACTTGTGGTGATCCTCCTGCCACAGCCTCCTGAGTGCTAGGATTACAGGTTTTCTGAATTTATTTATAGGCTGATGGAATGTTAAAGCCAGAATGGTCTCCTTCCACCTTCAGATGTGGAAAGAGGTTCTTAAAGGAAAAGACTAGCCTATTGTCTCACAGTGAGCTGGCAGCAGAGCTGGGACTCAGTGAGGCCTTGTGCTTCTCAGACCTGCACTTTCTGCAGCACCACAGTGCTTCCACCTTCGTGGGGAAACATCGATGGACTGCCCACTGTGTATGAGGTCCCAAGCTTGGGGCGGAGGGCAGTGAGGCACAGTCCTGAGAGCATTGCCTCTCACTCTGTGCTCCAGCATGTGCTTAAAGATACTCAGGGCACATTTCTATGTGTAGATTCCCAGCTCTCCCCCAAGAGAGTCTTACTCAGGATGGAGTATCCCATCCCAGGAATGTTAGTGGCCCTGCTCTGAGAAACCCTGCCCTAGGAAATCAAAGAGAAACAAACCCCAAACTTGCCAGAGGATTGCAGGGATCGGGTTGTGATTGTCCACCTGTTCCTTAGGCCATTAGTGTTTCCAAGTGAGCCCAACCCGGCCACGTGTCACCACTTTTTTTCTTGGACTTGGAGAGATAGGAATGACCAGATGGGAGTTGCTTCCGTGTGCTACAGTGGAAAGAACACGCCCTGAGGGTCAAGAGACCCAGGTTTTGGTCCCAGTTCTGCCACAGACCAGCAACAGGGCCTTGAGCAGCAGCAAGTCACTCCCCTGGGCCTATTTCCTCATCTGTAAAATTGGGATGCTGATTTCCCGCCTTACTCCTCAAGATGAGGGGAACATTTTTTGAGGTAAAGATGAGAATACTTTGCAGAAAGCCTAGAGTGGTTTGAACAGGAAGGTGAACTAACCAGGAGAATAGAGTCTTCTTGGCAAGGTTTGTTTATTTATTTATTTGGTTATTGGGTTTACTTATTTATTTATTTTGTACCGGGAATCGAACTCACAATCGTGCTCGCCAGGCAGGCACTGTGCCGCTGAGCTATACCCCAGCTCTTATTTGGTTTTTTGAAACAGGGTCTCACTATGTAGTTCAGAGTGGTCTTGAACTCACTATGTAGCCCAGGCTGGCCTCAAACTTGCAGTGACCTTCCTGCCCCAGCCTCCCAAGTGCTGGGATTACAGGAGTGCGCCACCATGCCCGGCAAGAGGATCAATTTAAAATTTGCCTCCTTTGGAGTCCATTCTTCCCAGAGACCCCGAGTTCTGCCACTAGAGTAACCTGGGGCTCTCAGCAAGGTTCTGGTCAGAGGTGGTAAGGTAGGGTGTGTGTGTGTGTGTGTGTGTGTGTGTAAGGAGTAATTCTGTATACATGTTTAATCTAAGCTTTGAGAAGGAAGAGTTGAGTCTAAACTTTCAACCCAGGACACAGAACTGGAGGGATGATCTTGTGGCTCCACACCCATGGAAGCGGGGAGCCTTTGGCTCCATCTCAGATCCCTAGAGCTCCTCTTGAGGTGTCACCAAGAGAGCCAGTGGCTCTTCTTTGGCACATACTTTAGGGTGGGATTTGGAGCTGGAAAATTGGGGGCAGTGGGGTTGCTGCTTCTGCTCTGAACCTGACTTAGGTCACCAAATGCTCCCTGAAAAGCAGGTAGGGCCCTTGCCTGAGGTGGGCTTTATGCCTGCTCATCGCCCCCTGAGCCTGGGCTACTTGAAGGAAGGCTGGGTCCTCAGGGGCAAGGGCAGGTGGGCAGGCAGCCCTCCCTCTCTCTCTCTCTCCCTCCCCACCGGCTCGCTACCTACCTCCTTTCCTACAAATTTTCTTGTTGGGCTTTCGGGCGCATTCCTTGGAAATCCGCTTTACTGTAAAATGAATAAAAAACTAAAAAATAACAAGAGGCCTCTGCCCAGGGGCATGCACCCCCCACCCCCCAGGCCCCAAGAGCTGAGCTGCTCTGCAGGTGGCACATGGCAGAGAGCCTGTCCCACCATCTCCTTGTTTCTGTCACTTACCTTAGTGTGACCCCCGCGGGAGGAGGCGTCAGCTAGCGAACGAGGAGGCACCTAAGCATTGCCCGCCAGGCTTGTCCCCCGCTCCCCACACACACCCAGCTCTCTCGGCCACATACATCTACCACCTTTTGAAGCAGGTGGAATGGCAACGAGGGGGGGGGGCCTGGTGGAGCCAGCATCCTCCCGCGGGCAGCTGCCAGCAGTGACCCATACTCCCCCAGGGAACCCCATCCAGCACTGGACCTAGACTTGTCAAAGCTCTCAGGCCTGCCAGGCCCCTCCTGGCAACAGTATCACTCACACATGGGAGCTCAGACAATGCTGGGAGAGGGAAGAACAGGGAGGGGAGGGAGGCCTAGCAGAGTGATGGTTAGAAGCATTTTCACAGACAGACGGACGCATGCTGCAGGGCACACGACCACATGCAAGCCACAAACACAGCGGGGCAGGCGGGAGGCAGGGAAGGCGCAGTGCCCGGCTGCAGCACTCACCATCCTCTGTGGGCACATAGACATTCAGGTAGAGGCAGTCTTCGTTGGGCTCCTGGATGTAAGTGGCGACGATATCCAAGTTGGCAGTGAACCAGACTGGCAGCATGACTTCGGGCACAGCTGTGTGGATGTTCTGGGGGCACACTGGGGGAAAGTGTGTGGCGTTCCGGATGCCCGACCAGGACGGGGGTGGTTCAGGGGGCAGGAAGCGCTTCTCGCCGATCGGGGGAGCTGCGTAGGGTACCCCCAGGTACTGGTCCACAGGCCCCAGGATCTCACTGGGCAATGGTACCCGGGCACCCCTTAGCTTTCCAAAGTGAGTATTGACTGTGGGTGCTGGGGCCTGGGTACTGGCCCTCAGCACCAAGCTGAGGAACCACAGGGTGAGGCACAGGCTCCGGCCAATTGCGGGTGTGGGGCTCAGGGACATCGAGGGCGGGCCAAGCCGCAGCCACATGTTCTGGGCAGGGGGACTGGCAGGAATGGCAGACTCCAGTGTCACAGCATCAGCCCCATAGGCAGCCCCTTCATGGTCACACTGACTTGAACCTCAAAACTGTGCTCTCCAAGGCACATACAAGTGCCCAGCCACGGAGAGAGCAGGTCGTCCAAGCACCACCGCTTCAGAAAGGGGACTCAGGGCCAGACAGGCCTGTGGAAAGAGGGAGGCATATGTCATCCAAGAAGTTCTGGGAGGGCCACAGAGTCCATCACTGGGCCCCTGCTGAGCTTGGCTTATTCTCCTACAGTGAGGAGAGTTTTTCAGGAACTCACAGATGGTCCATTGCTGGTCAGAACCATCCTATTTGCCTGGCCGTGGTTGGAAATCTAGTTGTCACTGCAAGTTTACGGTCCTCAACTTTAACTCCATAACCAATTGAGTTCAGAATCAGCTGGAGCCACGGTGGCACAAGCTTGGGAGGAGGGTGCTGGAAAGGGAGAAGGGGTCCCTGGGCATACTGTGTGAACACTGAGCAGTTTAGCTCCTGGGATCTGGTAATCCTACCCGAGACCTCTGCATCAGGAGAGGGGTAGGCTTGGCAACCTTACTCAGGAACACCAAGGCATCAGAAGGAAAAGCAGCCGATAGGCAGAACCTCCCCCCACCTACAGCCTTTCACCCTCAGGCAAGGGAGGGGACACACAGCCATTCACTCCTGTCTCCTGTCACATGTGGAGTGGAATCCCGACCCTCGTGTGCCCCTGCCGGACATGTACATTTCTCCTCAGCCTTCACTGCTTCCAAATTAAACCTTGGTCCGTTCTGCTGGCTATCCCTTAATTCACACCGAATGCCAGAACGGAGGGCGGGAACTAGTCTCCTAGCATGCTAGGCATTGTGTATGTTAGTTAAGTGCAAGATAAACAGAGTCTGAGGACACACACCCAGAAACTCATAGAAATAAACTCACAAAAGACTCAAAGAGGCAGTGTGAGAAACTAAGCCAGGATCATAGACACAGACCCCGAGATATTCCCTCACAGACACATACATTCCAAACCCACAGAAATCCCCTCTACAGTCCCATATTCTGCAACAGAGAGCCTCACACGGCCAAAGCCTCACAGAGTGATACATTTAGAGACACACAGACTTACTGAAATACAATCACACATACCCGCATAGGTAAATATCCAGACACATGCAGCATAATGGTGACACACAGGTGGAGACAAACGAAATAGCAACACAGACACATAGGCCTTCTGACAGTTACACAGTCAACACATATACACAGGCACATACAGATGCACCCACATGGACACACATGCCAACAGACACACATGCACGGACACATGCTTGCGCGCTCGTGTGTGTGTGCGCGTGCGCGCGCGCACACACATGCACACGCGCGCGTGCGCGCACACGCACACCCCACAGGAACATTTAGTTTTCCCCCATTTCTCCCGCCCTCCGAGCTTGCAGGCCTGCTCCTTTAAGAAGTGGCTGAAGGGATGGGGGAGGGAGAGAGGGAACGCCCGGCAATCGCCCGGCAATCGGCCACCAAGGGAGGGGAATGAAAGAGAGAGAGAGAGAGACAGAGAGAGAGAGACAGAGAGACAGAGAGACAGAGAGAGACAGAGCCAGAGACAGAGAGACAGAGAGAGACAGAGACAGTGTGAGAGAGAAAAGGAGGCAGGAGGAGGAGGGAGGGTGGGTAAAGTGACTAAAGGGGTGGGGGCTTGGAGGAAATAGGGAAATGGGGAGCAAAGTATGGGGGGAAGATCCTAGACACTGCCCAGAATGCACCCCGGCAGACGGGAGGAGGGGAAGGGGAAAGAAGGGGTAGGAGCAGGGAGGTGGGGCAGGAGGGAGTGGGTGGGTGTGTATTTGGGGGGGATAGTCCGCAGCTGAGTTCACACAATCCCCCCATTCACCGTCTCCATGGCAACTCCGGGGCACAGACCGCTCATTCACACGGCTTCCCCGCCAGCAACCCCCCATTAACCCCCTCGGTGCCACCCCACCTCACGAATCCCATTAACCCTTTAGGGATTGCCTTCCTCGCCAGTAACCCTTCCGCGCCAAATGCCAAATGCCAAATTCCCCTTTGAGTCAGTTCCCTACAGTACCTCCCCGTGAACACCTAGACGAACCAACCGACCCCCAAATGCCCTCTGTACCCTAGGACCCACTGTGAGTTCCCAAGGCTAAGATCTCCATCCTGGTCCAACTTGCAATTTGGGAGAAGAGAAGGGGAGGCAGCAATGCCAGGGATGAGAATGGAATCTGGGGGTACTTTTGAGGCTCGAGTGGTATTGGGTGAGGGGCATTGTGCAGGAATGGAGCAGAACTGAGAACTGCAGTACCGGGGGCTACATAGGTTTGAATGGTACTTGGGGGATGGAGTTGTACTGGAATGGGGAGGATGGAATAAAGGCCTCCATTGGGTGGGGGGGCTGCAGGCGTGGGGGAGGGAGCCTGGCTAGGAGATGCTCGGATGGAAGGGGAACAGGGCTGCACTGCAGGGGAGGAGGGGCTGGCAATGTGCAATACAGGAATGGGACCGGGGGTCCTCAATAGGGATATTTGGGTGAGCCTGCAGGATGGGCTATGCAAAGCGGACTATGGGCGGGAGGATGATAGGGAAGCAAGATTTAGGGAGGAGGTGGAGAGAAGTGGAGCAGGGGACTACTGGGGTGGGCAGGGTGTCGATGGAGAACACGGGGTTGAGAGGGATGGGGGCCGCTGGATGGGGAGTGGAGGGGCCTGGGATTGGGAGGGGATAGGATGGGGGCGAGGTATGGGCAGCGAGAGGATGAGAGACCGGGGCAGGTGGCCTCACCTGTTCCCGGGACTGCTGCAAGCGACTGAACCCGGCCACGGACCACCCATATCGCCTCCAGGCCAAGGGCTCGGCACCCGAATCCCGAGATCAGCTCTCCGGCAGCCTGGCTGCTGTGCCCGCGCACCAAGGGGGCGCGCTGCGCGTGTCCGGATACGGGTGGGGGGGGCGCGGTCCCTGCCTTTAACTCCTTTTGTGCCAGGGATGGCTCAAGTCCTCCGGCCTGGCCCCAACTCCCCCTCCCCCATGCTCAGGCAAGCTTTGCTCACGCGCTCTCCTGTCTCTGAGCACACACACCTCTTCCCACAAACTATCAGGCAGGTAATCTTTCAGGGCAGCCAGTCTAAACTTTACCTGCAAAGCTTAAGACCCTGAAACAAAGGGAGAAACTGAGGCCCCCCCCCAGTCGCACTCCACAAAGACATGCCTCAATCTCACTCAGCCTTCATCTCTCCTCAGCGCAAAACTACCCAGCCAGCAACCACCAGTGGGGCCACATTGCCCTCATCTGTCACTCTCCCAAAGGTCAATGTCGTTCCTTTCCCCTACTGCTTCAGCTGGGGCCAGGTGTCTGACCATTTCAACCTCTACTCCCTCCCAGACCGTCTCTGCCTCGTGTTTCTGTATGTAGTGCACATACCCGGACGGCCTAGCACCCCATGCCCCTCCGAATGTCCCTTATCCGAGAAGCGTTTACCCCTGTAAAGGCTGTGGCAATGGAATGTTAGGACAGAATTAGGCAGGAACAGTTTCAGTCATGTTTGCCTTTACCCTGTCAGAGTTCAATTCCTTCTACATATAACTCTTAAAGTGAAAATCCCATATGCATGAGGGCTTTGTAGATGGACCTCGGAGAGGAATTTTATTTTTTTAACTTGGGTATTAATTGGTACTCCTGGTTTTACCCACACGCTTGATACTTCTCAGCAACAGGGTGCAACAACGGCTTGGACATTACCCTTAAGTTGCCAGATCTTTTTGTACCACCCACCCACCGGGCTGCCACTGGTCCTCTTCCAGTCCTAGCTAGGCAGATCAGAAGACTCCACTATCATAAATCAGCTGGTTCTCCTACACAGCCTTGGATTTAGGACTCAAAGCCAAGGAAAGGGGCCTGAGAATGGCCCAGCCACAGCTCCAAATGTGACTCTGGAGCAAGTTTTAAGTTTTCTGCACTGTAAAATGGGAGCGAGCAATAGTCATTCTGGGTAACTGCTAAGGTGGGTCATGTGAAAACAAGCAGTTCCAGCGGCAGGATAGAGAAATGGGTGCTGCTGGGCGTGGTGGCGCACGCCTGTAATCCCAGCACTCGGGAGGCTGAGGCAGGAGGATCATTGCGAGTTCGAGACCAGCCTGGGCTACAAAGTGAGCTCAAGGCCAGCCCGAACTGCATAGCGAGACTCTGTCTCAAAACGACAAAAAAAAAAAAAAAAAAAAGAGAAATGGGTGCTGTTTCTTGCTGGGCTCTTTCTCCTCAGAACCACACTGTCCTTCCTCCACCTACTCTGTGATGGCACAGGACAATGAGGGCAATTTCTCCTCAGAAATGGGACTTAGGGAAATCCTCTAGCCTATGGAAAGGCTGCTACCCGGTGCATGATGGAACCCCATGAGATGGCCAAAAGGGTAGCCAACAGCTGTCACCTCCACCCCACCCACAGTGTTTAAAGCCTAGCAGCCGGGATGTTATTAAAGGAAAACTGGGTTCCCTTGGATTTTCCCCTAGCCTAATGGTCCTGCGCAATCCCAGTGGTATGTCTCCCATGGAGGAAAACTGTAAAGAATGCGGCAATGGTTGGACGATGAGGTGAGCTGCCTTAAGGGATGGAGGGCCTGTACCTCAACATGCTGCTTTGGAGCCAGAGGACAGGGCAGCAATTCAATCAGAATTCAGAAAGATAGGGGGTGGAAAGTAAACAGGGGAGACAATCTGAACCACACGAAGGCTCTCACTTGTTGGTCAGCCCCCAGTACTCTCCCAAGAGACCAACCTTTCCCCAGACACAGAATTCACACACTCCCTTTGCAAAGAAGCTCTGTGTATTGGGTGCAACAGCTCTGGGGTCTCTATATAAATAATATACAAAAACCCAACAGCTCAATGCTTCACATTAACAAAAATACTAAAAACTTATTAAAAATGGAGCCTGAGGGAAGGGCCCCAACCATTACTGGTGTTAGCCCAGAAAGAGGATTAGGAATTAAGAGGAAAAGGTGGGGCCACATCCAGTGCACAAGCAGTTCCTCCAGGTGGCTCAGTAGCGTCCAAATATGTTGGTACTGGGCTGTGGTTGGGTATCTGTGAAAAACCAGAGATTGTCAGGGTGGGAGATCAAGCAGGCCTGTAGCTATGCATGAGGAAAGCTAATTAGATGCCGAGGGGAAGGGCAGGGAGGGGAGGGAAGAGGAGGGATTCTCCCTTAACTTGGGCCTAAAGAGGTCACCTCAGCTACCTTTGCCCACCCCCATCCCTCTTTATTCTGGGGCTCCCTTAGGAAAGCAGGCATGCTTACTGGAGAGCTGCTGTTGGAGCTGCCGGACCAAAGCTGCTGTCTGTTGCTGCTGCTGGGTCTGCTGAAGCCCCTGGCGCTGGAACTGAGGTAGAAACAGGAAACAGAAGGTTGAACTCCAGCATTTGCCTCCTTCATCCCCATCTTCCACCTCCTTGTAGAGTGCCATGCCTTACTTCGCCCTGCCACCCCACTGCATACTGTCCCCAAGCCAGCTCACTGGTTGCATGCTCAACCTAGGCAGCTGTCCCTAAGCCTAGGGCTGATGTTGAGCACCTACCTGGGGTTGAGACTGGGGCTGGGGTTGAGGAGGAGCTGCCTGTTGCTGTGGCTGCTGGTGTTGTTGTTGTTGTTGTTGTTGCTGCTGTTGCTGCTGTTGCTGTTGCTGCTGCTGTTGCTGCTATGAAGACACAAGAAAATACTTCTGAAGAAAGCAAAGGAGCAGGACTCAGTACTGGAGGGACAGGGGCAGGGAGGGGTGTCGAAGCCAAGATGCAAGGAGGGAACTCTGGGTCCCCATCTTCCCTTCTCAGACCACTGCTAGGAGGCCAAATCTAGACTACCTGGAAGACAGTGTCCGACTTTCTTCATTCTCATCCTTGGCAACACGAAAAAGGGGAAAGGAGGGCATGAATTTAAGCACTACCTGAGGCAGCTACTCAGTCAGGTGCTTAGCACAGCATACCCTCATTTAATCTTAGTGACACTGTGGCATGGACCTGGGCCTCTCTTCCTCCTTGGGCTCCCAAGTCTTAAATGGAATCCTGAGGTCTTACCCGTAGGATCTGCTGCTGCTGCTGCCGCATGTGGTACTGCTGTTGCTGCTGCTGCTGCTGCTGCTGTTGCTGCTGCTGCTGCTGCTGCTGCTGTTGCTGCTGCTGCTGCTGCTGCTGTTGCTGCTGTTGCTGCTGTTGCTGCTGCTGCTGCTGCTGCGGCTGCTGTTGCGGCTGCTCAGGCAGAATGGAAGTTGAGCGGACGCCTGCCTGGACGCTCTGGGCACTCAGCGGAGTCATGGTACCCATCATGGGTGTCTGCTGCAGCGTCTGGTGTGAAAATCTCCAGAGACAAGAGATCCAGGGGTCAAGGCACAAGGCAGGGAGAGCGGGACAGTACAAAGCAAACTTCTAACAAGTCACTGCATTAATTCTCCGTTGGTATTAACCAGAAGAGTCCTTTAACCTGACAGACTTCTAGGTTGGGGAATAAGGTGCAAAGACAATATTCCATTTTAGTGTCTCATGTCCTTAACTGTTAGGAATTTTTCAATTGTTTTAGCTATTCTTCTCTTATGAAAAACAGTCTCAGCACATGACACATTGTACAAACACTCACTGAGCGTTTTTGTTGCTGTTTTTCCCAGTAACATTTCAAGCTGCCCTCCAACTCCTTATGCCCTCTGTACCCAAATCTCTGGGGCATTCTGTGGCTGGTTTCCCTGCTGTGTCTTGCATCTTCACTCATCTTCCCCTATGCATTCTATCTACTCATTCCACACTAATCTCTCAACCTGCCCAACTGCTATCACTGTGCTAATCAAAAGAGCCCTTTCTGGGATGGTATCTCGGTGATAAAGCTGAGCATGCAGGGCTATCTATCAACCTGCCCACCTCTGAGCGTAGCCCCTACTACTTCCCCAGCACAAATTCTACACTGCTCTCCATCTCCCAGACACTACTCATTCCTGCCCCAAGTCTCTGTTCATACTATCTCTCCTGCTTGGAATGCCTTTCTTTCTCTTCTTTTTCACAAATTCCAATCATAGCTGGTCTTCAGAAGGCAACTCAGGTCTGACCTCCTTCATGACTCTCCAATGACTCAGGTCCACACTGATAGCATCCCACTTTTTCTGAATTCCCATTTTACTTTGCAGCACCCAACTACAGACCTGATTGTATCTTTGCTTATAATATTCTCTAGTGCAATATTTTTACTCCTCAACCAGAATAAAAATTCCTTGTGGTGAGGGTCTGTCTGCGTCTATTTATCTATCTGTTGTGATCGTTCACTTTATGCAGCCCTACCTAGTATAGTGTTGGCCACACAGTGGCCAGTTAGTCAGCCCACCCCCGAGCAGTGTTCTAAATCATAAGCTACAGAGCCTGAAGACATGGCTACTAGGTCTTAGCTAGGCTTGACTAACACTAACCAGGGCATTCTGTTCATTTGCTAGTCCATCCTGGAGTTCAGCTGAATACAGGTTTATCATGTACTATGTCTATAAATCCCAGATTTTTTCTTATCAGAGTTATCAAGTGATCCCTCCTCTCCGGGCCTGAAAGAAATGCTGGGGAAGCAAATGTAAGACTGCTAGTCTCTAGGGTCCTTTTCAGCTCTAATCTTTTATTGTTATGGGCTACTTGACCAGGTAAGTGTTCCTAGTATCTCTACAGCGTTCATACCAGTCCCATCACCTTCAGGTGTGGGTTTTCCCACATCAAATGCCCCCTCATACCTCAGTGTTCCTTCCCAGCCCACAATTACTTTGAGTACCTTTGAGTAGAGGTCAGTCCATGTCCATAGGTTGGGGCCTGTTGGTGCACATAGCCACTGGGCCGCTGCTGCAGGTGGCGGGTAGGATCTACAAGAGTAGGATTGGTAGAAGGGTGGGTGCTCTGATAAGGCTGGCTGG